TGAATTTTCAAACTGCTAACACTTTGCACTTTGCAGTTTCGAATTATGCCTTTACTGTATGACCAAAAGTTACGGAGCAGTCTATTTTATGTTTCAGCTGTTTGATCGCGCCGGCGCCTCACGTGCACACTAAGCTACTGCATTCATTGGAAACAGCCAGCCGTTCACCGTGCTGTTCGTTCACCGTGCTGTTCGGCGGGAGACCCGCTCCACTGCGGCATATTTTTGCTCATTATGCGACACTGATAATAATACTTATTTTATAATATAAATATATAAATAATAGGCCTACTTAGGCCTATTATTTTATATGTTTTTCCGCCGGAAAAGCCTGCATTTGCCCAGTGCCTAAGTAGGCTAAATACTAAAACAACAAAATTATTTTTTCCACAAGCAATTTAATCTCTTTATTGGCTTAACTCTAGTGGCTGGACGGCGTCGGTCTCAAGGTGGTGCGAGTTGTGTGTCGAGTCCAGGAGTAGCTTGTGGAGGAGTGCATACCAATTGTTGCTCAGCCACTTCTGATGGAAAAAGAATTAGTTTTCTTAGGAGTGAAATCATTATTTTTTTCGTGATATCTGAAATTACGTCACGATTCCTTTTTTTTGTGTGACGATTCATTATTACTTTCCAAAATGTGATTGAAGACACAAATACACAATTTATACACACATAAATGACTGTAGTTATTCTGTTCTGAACATCAAATCCTTTGTTTTTCAATCAAATGTATTCTAACTAGTTGGTTGAATAAAAATATTTGGAGTTCATATTTAAAAATGACCTCAAGTTAGCATCAGGTAGCTAGTTAGCAAGCAGTTAGCATCAGCTAACAAAATGTTTCAAATAGGCTATTATAATTTTGTAATTCATAATTATTGATTATATTATTTTACATTTTAAGCTAAAACAGCCTGTACTCTGATTTTGAAGTAAATGTTTAAAGCACATTGCTTTGTCAGACTGGGGGTATTTTACCCCACCCATGGGGGTAAAACGCCCCCTTGGCACAAATAAAATTTTTGTTAAAAATATAATAACATGAAAACTCTGGACATTTTTCATACTTTGTTTATAATTTATGTCATTGTCACTAAAACTATGATAACTTTTCTTAATAGCCTACATTTAACTTTTATTTCACAGAAAAAAAAATTACACAGTCCTTAAGGGGGGCGTTTTCCCCACTCTAGCCTATAATCTGACACTGTAATTCATAAATTGTAGTAGCCTACTAATATTTGAATGCTTGGAGAAAAAATAGCTAGGCCTATTTAGATCATGCGGTGCAGGTCAGGAATTAATAAGGGGAGGACTAAAATGTAAATGTCAAATAATGTTCATTGCTTTATAATAATATTAATAATAATAATAATAATAGTTATTATTATTTACACATTCTATGCATTTCAAATAACTCTTCTCGCTGACTGCGCCGTCTCAGGAGAGCATGAGTTTGCCTGCTGTTCTGCGCCAAAA